GGGCCGGGGCGCATGGTCTGGGGCAAAAGACGAGGGCAAAGGTCGCCACAGGAGAAAATAGAGAGAGAGGGAGAGAAACGGAACGACTGCTGGATGCGTGGGTATTGGCAGAAATAATCTGAACCTGACTGCTCCGATCCCTGCAGGTCCCTCAGGACGCGCTCCCTCGCGCTGACGGTCGTCGGGATCCTGGTCGTCTTGGTGCTGCCTCGGACCACCTCGGCGGCGCGGCTATTGGCTTCTGGAGGGGTGGCCGCCGGGGCCATCGCGGGCCCGCGCCCTGTGGCCACCCCAGCCCCCGTCGACGACACGGTAAGTAGTGAGCGGGGCGGTGACCGGCGGTGACCGCGAGGGTGACCGCAAGAGTGACCAGGAAGGTGACCGCGTGGATGACCGGCCTCCACCGACACGCGGACCGATTAACCAATCAACCTTGTTTCCTTGCCTCGGTTGCAGTTCCGGCTCAAGCGGCAGGAGTCTGCAGGAGGTGAGTGCGCACGACCAATCGCCCGGGGATCCTAGACAACAACAGTTTTCTGGCGCCGGTCGAGCCATAATTATTCCTGTAAGTCACGCCTGGTTCGACCTTGACTGACGGGCTCTTCTCACGGCGCAGAGATCTGCGACTTCGGCGCGGACACGGACCCATCGCTGTGCGACTGGACGACGCGCAACGCCTCCGGGGCGCAGGTGTACGTGCCACGGTGGGAGTTCGGCGCGGGCGTGCTGTCCAACTGGATCGGCGGCCCGCCCAAGGACGCCGGCGGAGGGGAGAGTTCGGACAAGGGTAAGTTGAGTGAGGTGGCCTGGCGGCCACGCCGGGGATCATTCCAGAAAGTACGTCCGTCATTCGCCGTTAATACGGACCGGCCAAGTTCAGCTACTCCAAGCTCTCATAGCGCCTGATAGGTAGGCAACAGCTTTCCTGTAATGCACGCGTGTACTGCGGGGTGGCCTACCCTGATTTTCGCAGGCGCTGAGCTCCCCTAATCTGTCAAATGAATAAAACGGTACTTGCTGGACGATCCACTAGACGAGCGCACCTACAGGTTACGTAAAAGCTAAAACTCCGATGTAATTAAAATATTTCACTCAAAAAATGCGGTTGAACTTTATTGGAATGTTTCGTCGTCATCGTTATGAATGTTTCTTTCTTTCTTATTTATCAGAAGATATGCGTCTCACTCTTACTCTGATCCATCCTGACAGGCGGTTATGCGTTCTTCGAGACGTCCCTGCTGGGCAGCTCGGACAACCGCGTCTCCACGACGGCCACACTGGAGAGCGCCCCGTCGGACACGACGGGGCAGGAGGGGAAGTGCCTGACGTTCAGCTACGTCATCGACGGCCTGAGTGCGGCCGGGCTGCGCGTGCTGCTGCGCCCGGCCAGGGTGGACGGCATGCCGCCGGTCGCGGAGCGGGAGCTGTGGTCGGCGAGGGACTCGACGGGGAAGCAGTGGGCGCCCGCGGCCGTCCTGTACGCCTTCAACACGGAGCACCAGGTACGTGTCGCGCCGCGGACTCCGCGCTGGGCCCTTTCGCTGCTCCCCGGGCTCAACGCACGGCGCCCGTGTTGCAGATCGTGTTCGAGGGGCTGGCGCGGGACGCGAGTGACCCCCGCCGCAAGTTCCGCGGCCACGTCGCCGTGGACGACATCGCGCTCAAGGCGGGCGCCGAGTGCCGCGGCCACTGCACGTTCGAGGGCGGGCTGTGCGGCTGGGTCAACGACGAGGACGACGACTTCGACTGGACGCTGGGCCGCGGCTCCAGGAACCCGTCGACGGGGCCGGCAACAGACAGGTCCTCCTTCGCGTACGGCGGGCTGCAGGGCGGCTACGCCTTCATCGACTCCAGGCGAGTGACACAACACGGGGCGACGCTGTGGAGGCGCGGGCAGCGGGCGGAGGGGGGCTGGGTAGGCCAGCGCCGGCCCGCCGCGCACCACTGTGTGGCGGGCCGGCCTACCCTCGTCTTGACAGGCGCCTCCCGTCTCCAGAAGTGGAGCAACGCTTCCTGGCGTTGATACGGAGCGGGCGGGGCGTGGTGGGGCTTGGTGGGGCGGAAGGGCGAGGGACTCGGGGTGGGAGGACGTGTGACGTCTGTGCTGCAGGTTGTTCTCATACATCGCTCCCCACACCCCACAGCTTCCCGCGGAGGCCCGGGGACGTGGCCCGCCTGTCGAGCGCCGAGCTGGACCCCACGGGCGCCGACGGGCCCATGTGCCTGCGCTTCTGGACGCACATGTACGGCAACGGCGTGGGCACGCTGAGCGTGCAGCTGGCCGACACCCGGGAGGAGGGCCACGAGCAGGTGCTGTGGACGCTGTCCGGGGAGTCGGGCAACGCCTGGTACCAGGCGCAGGTCACCGTGGCGGCGGCCAATCCCTTCAGGGTGAGTGAGTGGCAGGTCCGCGCGGCGCTTCGCCGGAGGCCGTGACCGCCGCCGGTGACAATGGCAGCCGCCTTTACAAGGCTGACGGGCGTGGCATGTTGCAGGTCGTGCTGGTCGGCCGCGTCGGCCGCAACAGCCTCGGTGACATCGCCGTGGACGACGTCTCCCTCTCGCAAGGCAGCTGCCCCAGTAAGTCCCCGGGCAGGACGCCCAACGCCCACACCGCCGAGACTGTGGCGGCGCGGGCTGACCTCGCTCTGTGTGTTGCAGCGGCGCCGCAGGTGGCCGCGTCCTCGCGCGTCGACTGCACCTTCGAGGTGGACGAGTGCGGCTGGGTGAATGTGGCGCCCCGGGAGCGGCGCGACGACATGGACTGGGAGCGCGTGTCCGGCGCAGGGCAGCGCTCGCAGCTCCGCGACCACACGGTCGGCTCCGACAAGGGTGAGCAAGCTGCAGTTTGGTACCCCCCCCCCCTTTCCATTCCCTTCTCTCCGCTCACTCTCTCTGTTGTCGCCCGCAGGTTCGCTCATGACGCTGGAGCGCTCGAGCGTGCAGCGACCGGGCAGCAGGGCGTGGCTCACATCCGAGAAGATAAATGGCTCCTCCCAGGCGCGCTGTCTGTCGTTCTGGTACGTAACGAAAACAACGACGCCAACAAAAATTCCGCTTACGAGGACAGCGTTTGAACTTCTCGCTCCGCCGCCACAGGTACATCATGAACGAGCCGTTCGTGGACACGGCAGGCCCCAGCCTGGGCTCGCTGGCCGTGCTGGTGCGCGCGCTCGGGGAGGCGGCGGCCGGCGCGGCCCCGCAGGCCGTGTGGAGGCTGTACAACAACCAGGGCCCCGACTGGAAGTACGCGCAGGTCGCCATCACCGACACCAGGGACATCACGGTAGGCACGACGGCGTTGTGGAGGTGCACGATGTGGAAAGACCTTTCTCTTTCTACATCGTGTGGAGGTGCCACGAGGCCCTCCCCGCCCCCGCCCTCCTGGCACGCTCAGGGCGGGCCGCCGGCACAACGCAGCTGCTTGGCGGGTTGGCCTACCCAGTGCGTTGCAGGCGCTATCACTGACACAGTCAGAAGTCGCCCAAACTTAGGGCGTGTCAATTCGACTCGTGGTGATCCGGCTGCGCAGCTGGGGGCATGGGATTTGACTGCGACCGTCTTTTCCAGCTGACATTTGAGGGAAGCTGGGGGTCCAGCAGGGCCAACGGACTGATCGGACTCGACGACATCGCCATCTTCCCTGGCCAGTGCACCAGTGAGTAGACATCACTGTTCTCCCTGCTCTTTAACCCGTGCACGGCCTGCGTGCTCAAGCCCACCGCCCCCATCTGCCTGCAGCCATGCCCGCGTCCGCCGGGGTGCGGCAGGCCGAGTGCCACTTCGAGCGCGACACCTGCAGCTGGTCCAACGAGACCAATGGCATCGCGCCCGCGTCCTGGAGACTCGCCTCGCTCGCCAGGCGGCCCGCCAGCCTGCCCGACAAAACCTTCGGCGCGCCAGGTGGGTTCAGGTCCTGCAGGACAGCGTGACCCGCCCGGGCCCCTTCACCCTAACGCTCGCTTTTCTTCTCCGCAGAGGGCTACATCTTCTTCGACCTGTTCGCCCCGAGCAAGAAGGGCGCGCGCGACACGGCGCGCCTCGTGTCCTCGCTCATCCCGGCCTCCACCGAGGACACGCTGCACTGCCTCACGTTCTGGTACGCGGCCTTCGGCGTGGGCGACACCGCCGAGCTACGCGTCGTCAAAGCCGACAACTCGAGCGGGGAGCTGGTGTTGGAGAAGGTGTGGGAGCTGCAGTCGGCCGGCATGGACACGGCGCACCCGGTGTGGCTGCCCGCGCAGCTGCCCCTCGAGGCCAGCCAGGACTTCACGCTGCTCCTCGAGGGGCAAGCCGTCAACGGGGGCTTCGCCGTGGACGACATCACACTCAGCCCGGGCTCCTGTCCGAGTAAGTCATCGTCACCCATAGGCCTAGGCGGCTGAGACCAGCCGAGACTGACATTGTGTGAATGCCATGGAGCTCACTCGAATATCCCTGTTCCTTTCAGTTCGTCCTTTCTCGGCGCTGCCCGTCAAATCGGAGGACAACGGAAGATAGGCTCGAGGATCGGAGAGGAGCCAGGACGAGTTCAGGCCCTGAATTACGGGGACCATCGCTGTGAATCGAATCTAGTCTACAGCGGGGAGCGCGAGGAACAATTTCTGAAGACGCCGAGCTCCTCAGTAATACGAATAAGATAATTAACTTGCTTGTTGCCCTCCGGATCTCATTGTCTTAAAATGTGGGGCATATTTTTCCATGCCAACAAATTTTTGTCCTCATATACTTTACTGTACAGCAACCATGTTAATTTACCGCCTGTCGTTTCTCAAATTCCAGTTCTAAAAAAATTGTGTGATGTAGCATGAGGTGCAGACTAGACACGAGGCTAATTTGGCTCTAAATTTTAATAGAACTGACTATGAAAGCAAATGTAAACCATATTTTCCTTGTTACTTTAGTTTTGTAAATATGTACAAAGTTAACCAATAAATGCTAGTAGGACATATCACTTTTATGTAAAATGCTTAAGGTCCAAGAAAATAAAACACAGATAATGATTCAGGCTACAAGTTGACTTTATGTGTTTCACCTGCATTACACAACGGGTTCACTTGATACCTGTAAATTTAATATGCATGCAAAGCAGAAAATATTTTGCAACAGATACGTCAAAGTTTCTATTGCTGAGACAAGCCTACTGCACCAACTGATATAAGCAACTTTTAGCACATCTTATGCTTATACACTTGATATGCAAGATGGCTCTTCATATTTCATTTGTATAGATGTTTGGAATACAGTATCACCCTCCTTATACTTCAAATGTGTATCAATACAGATTCATAAAGACGTACAGCAAGATAACACACATTTGTTTCAAACTCTACTATGAGGCAAGCATTACATTCAAAAGATATTATGTAAATTTTTTGTTTCAAACTGGAACGCAATGCAAATAAAGAGAAAATTTGGAAGTTCATCACTTAACATATTAGAAGTCTACATTGCAATAGTCAAATAACTGTGAACAAACAAGAATCACAATCAAAAGTTGTGATTCCAAAGACCTTAAAACAAAACTTAGTTTAACTACGTCAATTAACAGAAACTGCTTACATTCTCTGTTGTCCCAAATAATTTCATGGTGGAATGTTTGGTTTCAAAATTTACAGATAAAATGTCTTCACTATGTTTTTATTTTCTGCAGAGGGGACTAACAAACTCCGCTGACCCAACTTTAAAATAAAAGATTGCACAGCCCACAGGAAAAACACATACAGAGCATGCAAGTTTTCTCCAAATTGCACACAAAGGATACATGATCTTATCAGTAACTGCTCTTTGCCGATATCTTGTGCTTGAAGGTTGTTTTTTTTTTTTCTCCCCGTGTTTCTTTTGTAAAGTATACCAATGCTCATGAACAATGAAAATCCTGCAGTACAGCCAACAGAATCCTATTTAATGGGCAACATACAGTACACGTTGGAGTGATCATTTCACATAAATGAAATGGATAGAAACAGCACACTGAATGTCAAAAACTGGTGCTACTGATCTAAATCCTCTACATACCCTGTACGAGTCATATGTATTTCAGATAGTAGCAGAAAAGAAGAGATTAGAAGGGAATCTTAACTGTCATGCATTGGACATTCATGTGGGTATACTACAATTCTCTTCCATAAGACTGTATGAAAAAAATATTGTACCCGAGTACAAATTCAATCCATCTAATACTGCTTGAATATTGAGCTAAATTAGCAGAGCTAAGTTAATTACAAATAGCAAAACCATTTGACGTACCAGGTTTTAAGAGGTTGGGTTTCAGAAGCATGCAACACAAAGGAACATGTAGTTTCTTGTACAAAATCAAAGAGTGCAGAGACACTTTCAACTAGAAACAGAAGTTATTGTCATTGCTGCTCTGTACAACCTAATATGAAATAACACAATTTTAACAGTACATATATATATATTTATAACTTTGATACAAGATTTTTTTCAAACTTAGTTCATATCAACTTCAAACTTTAACAAGTCTGAATTCAAATAACACATACAAAGCAACATTTCTGGGCAATTACAGAAGAGCTAAAGACTCGATAATGAAAGGTGACCAAGTAAAAAAGATGTTCTCCTATGTCAATACAATGAGGGTGCTTTGATTCAAAGCAGGCAAGCATCAAATACAAGATCCTAATGTACAAAGCTGTATAATCTTTCACGCTACATGAAACAGTAAGCTGGAAGGAAAATTCACAAAGATTGTGTTGCACAATAAACAAAACAAGTCTCGCAATGAGTTACCATCCAAGAGACTGAAGGTTAACTTTGTCTCTAGCAAACAGGTAGCAGACAGAAAGGCAAGAGGATATAATGCTTAAGCTCTTGAAATCCTCACAAGCTTTGAAGATACAGGAACAACAATCACGACAAGTTCATTCAAGCATTGATCAGTTTTGTTGAATCTTTAGATATCTGGTTTACTTTGATGTGCTTCACTATAAGATTAACAGGCATGTCAACACCAACAGCCAAACTACCGTTCTAAAATTCACTGGTGTGGAGATTCGCCTAAATTACACATCACAAACATTATATGTTTATAAGAAGTATAAGGTTCAAATTTCATGGAAAAAATATATAAAACAAAAAAATAGGGAACCCATAAAATAATAAAGACTAGTCTAAATACAACAGCTGTACACATTAAAGATTTTTTTGTCACATAAGAGCACTTTAAAAACAAGATCACTAAGAATACAAAAGTTACTGAGCAAAAAAGAACAAAGTATATTTGAAAGCATAATCATAAAAAAAGGTTTACAAAGGAAAACCATATATAACTCATAATGGATAGATAGGCTTCACTGCAACTTGTGTGGATGGAGCACAAAAGAATGAACTGACAATATGTGCAGATGACTGAGTCTCA